TTATTATTATTATTATTATTATTGTTATTATTATTATTATTATTACTACTATACCTACTCATATTATTCCACACCTCCATAAGATCGCACTACGCATTCATCCTAAGGTCGTTTTAACAAACTTCATATTCCTAGAACACGTTCAATAAAAACAAAACCCAACCGGTTGATAAGCACGGCCTCAGATCGATAATCGATCATGCAATGCTGGAAGTACCACGAGTGAAGTATACGCATTTGAAATACTAAAAACGCGAACGCAAACGTATCAAAACCAATTTGAGTTTCAGATTTCTGCACCGTGCACGTGTTATCAAATTCCAATTCTATAATAAATAACAACAATGAATAACAACAATAAATAGTAATAATAATAATAATAATAATAATAACAATAATAATAATCATAATAAAAAATAAATAATCAAAAACCAACGTCCATCAAAATAGTAGTTCTCAGTACCATCCAATGCCTTATTCACGCAAACGATACTAAACAACTGCCGTATATAACATAAATGATACTCTTTCAATAGATGTATGAATGCGCATCCAACCACCTGAACACTTCTATCATTACAATACCTATCTAATAAACAATAAAAACAATAACAAAACAACACCTGAACACACCTGTAATATCACCTTGCAGAACATCGTGAGCACGATATAGATGAGCAGTATCTTCCATCGTCTCAGTGTCACCTCGTATCTCTTTCTGATGTACAACGCGTTGCCCTGCCACAACAACCAGAACGCCAGCACAATATAACCCAACGCGAACAACGATACCCCTCCCAAGCCCGCTATTAATACCATCACTAATGTTGCCCAGTGGCCATAGTTGAAGATGGCCAATTTCAACACATCCACAAAACTCCTTTCATTTTTATTATTATTATCATTTATTATTATTATTATTATTATGAAGATCATTATATTTAAATGATAACAATAATGATAAAAATTACCTCTGATGTGTAATAAAATCATAATGCGGATTGTTCGCAGCAATATTATAATCTTTCGTTTTATAAACTGATTCGTTATCACCAATTGAATAAAAGTTATGATATTCCGCGTAAAACGCGTATTGCTGAAAATTTTTTGCAATTTATCATCAATATTAACATCATCAATTATTTCATTATAATTAATATCAATAATCAATATTAATTAATTAATATTATAATTATAATTATATCGCTCACCTGACACGACACAATCAGCAATAAAAAGAAATCGGCGATCGTATTGTACGGGTTCGGATGTATACGGTAACTGGCCAAATCTAACCACAACACGAAATTCTCATTCTGAATACTATTCGATAACCAGTGACTCCACGGGTACTCTGCAACTTGTTTACTACAAAACTATAATAATAATAATAATAATAATAACAAACAACGAATATATTTGCAAATGATTGAACATATGCTTCTTCGCATTTTCAAGTTCAATTGAACGAGTTAAAATAATAACATTAAATGTTAAAGTGATAATATACTCTTACTACCCATCCACATCTACGGCTATTCTATTTCCCTCCCCTTATTACTATAATTATTATAATTATAATTATTGTTATTACTATACCTACTCAATTATTGCACACCAGAATAAGATCGCAGTGCGCATTCATCCTAAGGTGGTCAACATAAATTAAAGGTAACATAAAATTTAATATAAGAAATAAAAGCAACCGATACACAATTCCGGAGGCAGTCCCACGTAGACCTGGTACTGCAACGGTAGCAGCACGGCCAAGTAGATCAGGAACAGTGGCCAGATGCGTCGGCTCGCGTTACGACTGATGCACACGAACACGATCAGCCAGATCAACGTCAACGTACCGATCAGGTCCATACGAACCCAAGCCACCACGGCCATCATTATCATCGATATCTTTAACAATTACAACAATAAATAACAATACTAAATAATACAAGTAAATCAATCAATCAATCAATCAATAAATCACCTCCAAACCGAATCGATAGAATGTGTAATTAAATGCGAATTTGCACGCGTTCACCAACGACGCATCCCAATCTTTGTAGTCGAAATCCTCGAAGACAATACCGCGTTTCGGTATTGTCGCATTCACTCGCGAACGTTTGTGACGTTGCCGATAGATCACGATCGCTTGGATCGATAACGCGATCAGCGCCATTATCAGACCCTTAGTTATTATTATTATTTATTATTACATTATTATTATTATTATTATTATTATTATTATTACATTATTATAACTGAACTGGTCGCCTAAGCCCTGCACGTGGCAAAATGTTTCGAGCAACCACCCAAGAAGCTGAATAACTCATTCCTTCAACTATGCTTTCAATTTCCTTCATTAACACTCCATTAAGAAAGTCTACGACACCCCGTTTATGTATAACAATTATTATATGTATAATAATAATTATAATATAATAATAACTATTATTATACGTATTATTAACATTTTTATTCTATATCGTAATAATAATAATAGTAAAAGTAATAAATAATAAACCCACAGCAATGTATTGCCCAATGTCGAAAACCTTATGAAATCCGAGCCACTCACTAAACGGTATCATATTTATACCACTTATATTACATTCCTCTTCCGGTAAGTAAATATAATCCGTTCTGTTTTCGTTTATAAAATGCAACTGAAATTTTATATGCACATTTACTATTATATATTTAACAATCATTAAAATGTATCATAATAATAAATAACAATAACAATAATAATAATAAATAACAATAATAATAAATAACAATAATA